ATAAGATCACTGCATGTCACACTGTGTGGCTAGGAGCTACAGTAATAAACTTGGCCACAACATGTAGACTGTACGATGAAGACACCTGTTGAATCGTACGCTACGACGCACAAAGAATAAAATGTCATCAGCATGCGCTAGTGTTAGGGTTGCCACCCGTCCTACCTAATTTAAAGGTAAAATGATGCGTCCCGTTTTAAATCAATACGGGACGCGATTTGTCCCGTATTTTACAAAGGCTAACAAGCTGAATCAACAAATAAGTATTTTGCACCGTTTATAATGCTAATAGCAATTATAATTAAATTAATTTCATAAGAAGTTAGAGAAGCTCATCTTGGCGTCTTCGTTTCCATGGCGATGATGGAGTCTCCTGAACGCGCGCCGTTAAAGCCCTTTCACGAGAGCGCAGTATGCGCGGTTTAAAACATCGAGGAGCTCACGTCCGCCCTTTGAACACAAGACTCTCCAGATGTAGAGCTGAACGGTAAAGTTATCAATGTGTCTGTCCAGTACTAATGATGAACGCTCAGTTTGCAGAGAAGCATTTGCTCACGGTGGACCGTGGTCTGTCTAACTTAAAGGGATAGTTCACCCAAAAATGAAAATGTTGTCATCGTTCACACTCCCACAAGTTGTTCCAAACCTGTAATAGTTTCTTTCTTCTGTTGAACATACAAGTAAATACTTTGAAGAACGTGGGTAACCAGCAGGGCCGCATTAACCATTGGGCTAAGCGGGGGGCCCGAGCCAGGAGGGGGCCCGTGATTGGCTGTGGAGTAGATTGACGGACATCGGTAGCGCCGATCGCCAAAGCACCACCACGCCCCTCACTTTTTAGCGCTAATATTTAGTGGAGTTTTCCGTAAATTCCATGCATTACCATTAGAGATTAACCCTGGGGCCCAGTGAGGTCTTAATGCGGCCCTGGTAACCAGACAGTTTCTGGTCCCCAATTACTCTGATAGCATTTTTTCTCTACTATGGAAGTTACTGAGGACCACAATTAATAGATTATAATTAATGTTAGACCCTATTTATTCATTTATAATTTATATGAATCATAAATATATACATAATAAATAAGCATATATGTCAAATACAATTTGACATTGTAAAAAGTTTGTATAAATAATGCTAAATTATTTCGATTTAATGTAGTCCTAATTTCAGCAAATTAATAAAAAAATAAAATTCTAATTAATCTTATCCAGGTAACAGCTGCAGAACGGTCAAAAAAAGACTAATAAGAATTAATCATTTACATACATGAGCATGTTTTCTCATGGTGTATTGTTGAGCTATGAGTTCCTCACTGATTATTTGTGTCCTTGTTTTTATTTCTTGTCTTTTTTTTCTGGGGGGGGATCGTGAATGGGTGTCCCTTTTTGGCTCGCTGAAGGTGGCAACCTAGTGGTAAACAAAAAGAGCATGATAAATCACACTTTAGCAGTTCCTTGATTTCATGTCACATTTTTATTGGTTGGTCAGTAAACATGGATCGTAGCAGCAAACACACGGTGCGATGATCATGCTGTATCGTAGGCTATCTTTGGTCACAAGATCGTGACAACGGCCATCTTTGAACCTCTCTCACTGTACGACACAGGACCAGCGATTAGGAGCCACGATCACAGAAATTGCCACAATTGTTTCACAATGCCAATCTTTCATCTGGGACAGCCGAACATTGTGCAGTGTATTTAGGGCTTAAAACGACTTTTACAATGAGAAACTTTTTGGATTTATACACTTAAGGGGACGAACCCTCCTGGAGTTAGAAGAAATAAAATTTTCACCTTTTTTGTAATTATTTTTTGGTATTTGTATTGTTATATGCATGCAGATTATACATGTGTGTATATCATCATAATTATTATTGATATATCGTTATTGTTGTTGTTTTTTTTATATTGGCATGTTTTGTGTAACGAGGAAAGCTCTAGCCACTCCCATTGATTAACCAGCTGTCTTTGATTGCTTACTAATTGTTTAAGATCACTTGAACAATTGATGTGTATCCTGAAGAAGGCTGTGAAGCCGAAATGCATAGATCTACACTTTTAACTGTTTTAATGATTTAGCCAAGCTAATTAAAGGCTTTTTTATTTTTACTACATGACTGCCTTGGAGTATTTCATCTTCTCAGTTAAATATTTAACTTAATTCAAAAATGCTTTGAGCATTTAAAACTTCATAGGAAGCGCTTCAACATTTCCATAATATAGATTTTTTTTAATACTTCTTTCTTTTGCCTGAAAACAACAGTGACAAATAACAATACAAAAATGTACTATAAAAGCATACAAATATATTTGCTTTCACCCCTGTCACAGAATGCCACTTTAAAAAAAAGTCCTAGTGTCCCTGGTACTAGTTTAGAGTTATAATCAGGGTTAGGATCATAATCAGATTTTTGAATGAGTGAAGAAAAATTGGAGCAGAGAAGTAACAGGACAAGTGAAAAAAAAGTTTTACAATTACAGAATACTTCAGATGTGGCATTTAAACACCTAACTGGAAGACTCTGGAATCACTATACAGAAAAGTTGTCCTCAGAAAGATGGATGAACGATGTTCCTAATAAATCAATTCTATGAAGCCTACAATAAAGAGCTAAATATATATTTTTAATTCATTAAAAAGTATATTTCCATATTGGATGGCAATGCACATAACACAGGCCAAAGCAAACTACATTTATACAATTCACTCATAAGCTGTTTATTCTAATGCAAACTAATCTTTCCCTGAACCACAGACCTCGGCATATATTGTCTCTTATTACACGGCTCTGTGGAATACTTGATTCTGATTGGTCAATCGCGCCATCCAGCGGTATATTATGTAAGGGATAATGTACATCCAGCCGGTTGTTCACAGGGTGATCAGGACCATAGACATATAAATATGTCTATGATCAGGACCCCGACGCGAAGCGGGATCTGAATTTTTTTTTAATTGAGTTGAAATATTTGAACGCAAAAGCTTCCGTGAAGACAGCACCCAACAAACACAGAACGTTGCCTCAACGTAGCCAACCTTTTAGCAACGTTGTAACAACATGGCTAAAAGGTTGTTGGTTCTACGTTGTGTCGTTGAGGTTGTTACTGCGTTGTCACAATGTTGCCATTCAATCACGGTTCAGGGCCATTGCTGAAGGTTGTGCTTAGCCTGTCTGGACAACCACTGGACGACATGTACTCGTCACTGTTCCGAAGCGCATTTTAAATTTTAACAGACCGTTGGGCCGTTATTCTTCTTCAAGCCAGGATACGTGAGTATTGCTTATGATTTCTCTTTTAGATAAATAAGATATGTAAATATCCAAACAAAACCTACAATTTTCAAAAATGAGGAAAGAGCATTTTTCAATTTTTTTCTCCAAATTTTGCAGGCCTGTAATTCAACAAGTATTAAATATATCTTAATGCCCTTTAATATATCTTAATGTCCATTAATGTCTTATCTTTAAGAATGGAAAACAAAAGACAAGTTGGCAGGAGAGAATATATGAGACGCTGGAGAGCAGCCAACAAGATTCTTTCTAATTGTCACCAAAATCAGGCCAAAAACAAATATAGTGATATTTGCGCTAGTCCTGTACTTCAAGAACCCTTACAACATTGTTCATCCTCTGCAAGATCAGTTTCAGAGTGTAGCACAGCTTGTTCTTTAAGAGAGAGTGGAAATATATCCTAAACAAACGCAAAGCTTCCACCAAGAAAAAATAGTTCAAGCAACAGTACAGCACCGACTGCTGTTACCCGGATGAGCCTGTGTTATTAGCTTTTACCGGTTGTTATGCGGGATAACATACCTCGGAATGTCGCGACTGACCAATTAGAATCAAGTGTTCCACAGAGCCGTGTAATAATCCCAGATAACAACCGCCAAATTGAATAACACACCGCTCATCCGGGTACTACGAGTTATCTTGACCGGTACTACTTATATGCTTAAGAGTCACTCCGCTATCGTTGACTGTCTAGCGCCATCTTGTGACTGAAAACACTTAACCACCGCGTGTTACAATGGTGGGGTCTTGATCACCCTGTCGGGGTTTATTCTGAGATAACAACCGGCTGGATGTACATTATCCCTTACTTGTCCTGAGCATTTCACTGTTCATTTCTAGCTCTTCACTCATCGCAAAAGCACTATTATCATAAATGGAGTTGATCTGCATATGTTTTTTCCTGACCCTGAAAGAGGAAAAAAATAATACATGACCTTTTCCGTGGATCCATTTCTTTGTTTTTTTGTTTCTGTACATAATAAAACATTACAGTAAAATGAATGGTAGGGTATTGATATCTGCTTTTTACAGCACTTCATGTCTGAAACAACAGAAACATGATCTGCTAAAAGAGTGTAGAACATACCTGATCTGAGATGTCAGTTTCCCTAATAATGGATACCTTTACTTTTTGCACTCTGTATTAATAAGAAATGCAGAAATCCATATAATACAAAATGGACCTCTATATTGTGAACATCAGATTGTATGTATATGTTTCAAAGCTAAATTATATTTATTCTGAAGGCTAGTTGCTTTTTTTCCCCATGCAATTACAATAATTTGGATAATGGAGATTAAAAAAGAATCATAAGCGCCATCTAACTGTGCTTACCTTAGGACAATTTTTACCAGAAGAAATATAAACAGAAATGCTGAAATTCCTCCTACATAGTCAATGAGTAAAGACAATGATTTTTCTGATGAAGCTGAACCAGATTGAAAACATTAAGTAAAATTAGTTGGTTCAGTAGGCTGTGCACACAATGTAAAAATATAGTTCAGTCATAAAACTGGAGCTACCCATGATGATCATTAATTTTAGTATCTGTATACATAGTAATGGAATATGTCTGAATTAAACTCGCCTGTTTCTCATCAGATTTCTTCTGATGTCTGAGTACCATATTATGTTCTTTGCTGTGCAAAAGTACCAGCCACCACAACTCCTATTTACATTAAAGGTCAGTTGTTCATGTTTTTACCAGGTGTAGTTCATTTCATTTGGACTGGCTTTGCTTTTGCAGGTCAAAGTCACAGTACCAGCAGAGACTGAATCAGATGGATCGATGGTGATGTGAGTCTCTTCTGGAGAAACTTTAGGGCAAAAGAAACATCTGTAGGTAAACTAGACATCATAATATTACACATCTGAACATAATAATGCTTGTGAAAGTGCAAAATAACTCCAAAATTCTTACATAGGACTTTAAGTGTCATGGTGCTCTCCACATTTGAGTCATCAGATGAATTTCTTGGATACGTAGCAGTGCAGGTGATGCTCTTTCTGTGATCTTTGTATGAAGCTTTGAAGGTCATGTATGAAAACACTGACTGGGTTTTATCAGGTTTCTCCTGTAACTGTGTTGTAATGTGGGCAGATTCAGGGATGTTAGACCAGGATATTGTAGGAGGTTGTTTGGGGCAGGGGGCTTCAGAAGAGCAGATCAGATTGACTGTAGTTTCCTCCATCACTTCTTTCAGATCAGTGGGTGTAAGGATGGGAGGCTCTGGTACATCTACAAGGCAAGAGTACACTGTATAAAATATTACTAAATGAAATATAATTGCTCTGCTTGTTACTTAATTACACCAGTAGGTGGCAAAAAGTGAGTATTCAATCAAAAACAATGATTCATTCAGGAATGAAAGGAGTAGCTGTTTTTTTTAATTGAATTGGTCGCTCAAACATTTTGCTCAAATACGATGATTCACTGAAACAAAATGATTCATGAAAAAAAAACATGCTGTAATCCTTGGAGACACACAATAGTTGACTCTTCGGTGGCTCTATTTTAAATTACTTTCACTGTTGGGGTGAAAATAGACAAAGTAAATGGTAAATACTGTCTTTAAGAAGTATGTAAGGAATAATTGACGACGGGCCATGCACATGCGGCCATGATGCAAACCATTGTGCGTCTCTCAACAGTGTTCGGCAGCAGCTTCTCTACTAACATCAAAACTGTAAGTTCATCAGCTTCAAGAACAACACCATTATTACCTCACTAGTGAGAAATGTCATGTAGCTTTTAAGTTGACCCCATTTTTTATTGGTAAAAAATATTTTACCAATAAAATCGTCAGAGCAGCATTGACAACACGACACGTTTCTGTGAACTTTTTTTTCTTTTTTTGCGTACATGCGTTTATAAGGTAAAGATAAGGTATAGAGAGTGGGAGACTGCTTTCCGTACATAATAAAATGTAATTTTGTGGCAAAAACATGGAAATAATTTGTCTTTTATTTTTGTAAAAAATACAAAACTAGTATCAGCTATACAGGACTTCACCCACCCCAAACCCATCCCACCCCTGGTAGACTTAAAAAAAATATATAATAATAATAAAATAAAACATAGTAGTAATACTACTAAAATAAAATTAATAAATATACAAGTACATGTTTACAAAGAAGCCAAAAAAGTTGACAGTAAAAAAGCAGCGTGCCATCTGTTAACAGTCTTAGCGTGAGATCTGTGTATACGTGAGGTTGAGAGTTCCATTGAAATAATGTCCAGTAAAGACACAGTCCATGTTCGTCTGTCCATTGTGTGAGGAGGATTCCAGCGGTTGACCAACAGTTTTTTTGCCGCAGTGAGAGCAGCTAATAACAAACATTTCTGTTGAAGGGTTAAAGAAACATCCTGAAAATCATTCAAAAAAAGTGACGTGGAGTCAAGCATATAACCATTCCTAGTAGGTATGATAAATCCTTTGAGAGTTGGGTCCAAAAAGGCAAAAGAGAGGAACACTCCCAAAAGAAGTGTAAGTACGTGCCCAGAGAGCCTTGAGAACATAAATGACATATAGGAGTAGAGGACAGATTCATATAGAAACGTTTCAGTGGGGTCAAGTAAATCCTATGTAATAATTTCCAGTGTATCATTTGGTGATTGGGATTTTTTGAGGATAGTTTAAACATCTCCCAAACCTGATTAGAAAATAAATCATTCTCATCAAGATCCTTAGCCCAAACAGTTGTAATAGATAAGGGTTTATAAGAATGCTTCAGAAGATTATGATATATATCTGAAACAGAAGAGGGAGTTTTCTCAACAGGAAGAATAAGTTTGCGTAAAGGGTGAATAGGCAAGTGAGAGTCCCACGGCACCCCATATGACCGAAAAGCCGATCTAATGCGTAAAAACATAAAAAAAGATGTACCTGGTAAATTATATTGGGCTTTGATATCCTGAAAAGATTTCAAACCATTATCATCAAAAATATCACACAGAGTATCTACTTTATGTGTCCATTGTGGACAGTAAAAGGGAATATTTCCAGACAAAAGATGATTATTGTGAAAAATAGGTGTATGTTTGTGCCAGATAGTAACTCCTTGTGTTCGTCTTTCAACTTCCCTCCAAGTAGAAAGGAGGTGGGTTACAATAGGACTAAACTTTGCTTTACACTGCCTGAAATAATTTGTCATTTTTAACTTATTATATTTATTTGTCTGTTCACTCACTGTCTTTGTTTTTTTGCTGTCGTAAGGACCACTGATCTATAACAGAGAACTGGATTGCTCATGACGTCATAAACGTGAAGCCACCACGCCGCCATATTGGTATTGCCCAGTATTCCCATACATTCTATTAAATTAATAGGAAATCATACAATTTTAATGAGTAACCATTATCTAACAAGTCAACATTTTTTTTATATCTGGAGTATTCCTGTACATTCGTAACGCGCAAATGTCCTAAACATGTAAACGGTTATTTGTTTAATGTCGGTCATTTCCCCTGCTTATTAAAAAGTCACGTTCATATACATTGCGAACATCAGATGAAGATGATAAACATTGGGTGCTCAACATTACAAATGACAAAGTGCTCATTCTGAAATCTGAATACATATTTATGCTTTATGTGACTACATATGGCACAGACTTAAATATATGAAGCTTTGTTTCCAAGATGATGCATATGTTTTGAATTTCAATAGAGGCTTATTCATTGTATATTCAAATCAAATTCAGAAACTAATATCAGATATATGTTCATGTTTAATATTTTCTGCATAATTGTGTACATAAAGAAATATATTTTGTGTTGGATCAGTTACCCGTGTTGGCAAATGCGTAGCACACCCACCTTAACGATTTTGATAGAGCTGTGCATGCAGTTAGTTTCGTTTATGCGTTGGCCTATGTGGATGCGTGGGTGGAATGAGCCACGACAATATGATCTTCTCCGTAGCGTTAAAGGGGTCATATGATGTTGCTAAAAAGAACATTATTTTGTGTATTTGGTGTAATGAAATGTGTTTATGCGGTTTAAGGTTCAAAAAACACATTATTTTCCACAAACTGTACATTATTGTTTGTCCTCTATGCCCCGCCTTTCTGAAACGCGTCGATTTTTACAAAGCTCATGGGTCTGAAAAGCGAGATATGCTCTGATTTGCCAGCTATCTAGTGCATTGTGATTGGCTGAATACCTTAAGCGTGTGACGGAAATGTTATGCCCCTACCATACTGTGATGCCCTGTCCAGCCGGAGCGACAAGACAACAACATTAAAACCCATTATAAGCGAGGCATTTGTTGCATCCAGTGGTGACATAATTACGGATTATAATGACTTATACTGTCTTTTTACGCATAAACGTAAAACCATGTCTGCATTTGTGATGTCCTCTTTTGGAAGGCCAAACAAAGTAGTTTCGCTTTCACAACGAAAAACACAGAGTCACACACGGTGGGCTTGAGTGAGTGGCTGTGGGCGGGCGGGCTTGAGAACGGCGCGGCCAGCGGATTCGATGAAGGAGCGGCCGGAGGGCTTGCAGCAACCACATGTGACGACCCTGGGCTGGACTCCGCTTCGTCCACGGTGAAATGACGTAGACATGTGGGGGCCTGTTAGAACAAGCTGTTTTAGGTAGGCGTTTTTGACTCTTAACTTTTATAAAGAATATCTCTTTGGATTTGAGACTTTAATCTTTGCAACTTTACAGATCTTCTTTATGCACCAAGAGCTTGTAACACTTCAAAGAGAAAGGAAAAATTGAAATCGCATCATATGACCCCTTTAACTTCTTGAACAACGTAGTTACACAGTTCACTCACCAACAGTACAATTGGCATAAACACACAATCTGAATGTCACTGTTCTCAATGATCAGTGCTCTTGCTCCGGCACAGAATGGCAGCTTTTCCGACTGTGCAATGAGCATGAGAGCAACCTCTACCAAAAAAACTCTACGTACACACGTAACTCACCACATATTCTCTGACTGACATAACTAAACAGCCAATAGGAATAAGAACAGAATTAATATAGTGAATAGGCTTAAAGGGACCATGCTCTCTCATGACTCTCTTTACTGGAACTCCTAAACTGTCTGACTTTTGCTCTGCTATACCGGACCATAGATCCTGAGGTTGGTAAACTTCCCTTCCAAGCATAAGCCTATTTGGCGTGAATCAAGTAACTGCATGCTGGGAGCTACGGTACGCTGATGTAAGGAGAGGAAGATGCTTATCCCAGTTTTTCTGATTCTGGTTCACGTAGCATCAAATCATCAGAAGGAGCGTTCGATTGAACCTCTCAACTTGTCCATTGGAGGCAGGATGGTAAGGGGTTGTCCTCGTTTTAGTGATCTGCAAGAGACTACAAACATTTCTGAATAATGAACTTTCAAAATTTCGACCCTGGTCTGTGTGCAGTTCAAGTGGCGCACCAAACCTGTAGATGAACTCATAGACGAGTGTCTTAGCTGTAGTTTCTGCCCCTTGGTCTGGCACAGGAAAGGCTTCCACCCATCGAGTGAACTGGTCAATGATGATGAGAACATACTTGTTTCCTGAACTGGACACAGGAAATGGGCCCAATACATCGATATGTATGCGATCCATTGGCACCCCTGCTTGCTAATTTTGAAGGTTGGCCCTCTTGGTCGTCCACAACTTTGCAGGCATTGCAGTCGCTCTAAAGTCCTTCCTTCCCCCAAATGCCCAGATTGCGGTGGATTATGGCAGGCTTGTAACACTTCTGTTTGCATTGACGTAGGTACTAGCAACAGTAGGGAGGGACTGAGTCCTCCAGGCCTTTCCCAAAGATAAAAGAGGACACCTTGATGGAGTTCAACTTGTGGCCAACACAGCCAGTATTTTCTTACTGCTGGACTTTTCAACACAACATCCTCTTTTGTTGGAAGAACTCCCATCTCTTTCCACTTGTGCAGGATGGAGAGATCAGGATCAGCTCTCTGCTCTTGTGCTAGCTTTTCTTTGGAGAAGGCTTCTAGCCAGTTCACACAAACAACTCTGCAGCTGCCCTGTTCTCATCACCCACGCCAGCATTGTCGATAACGTGTTCCTCCGTTGCACACTCGACGCTCCTTACTGCAAGTGGAACAACATCATCCACTACTTCCTCGAGCCTCTCCCAGTGGTCATGCAGCTTTTGACAATGTTTACAGCCTCCACATGACAGATTTGAAACACTCTTCCCTGCCTGATAGCAGTTACACATATCGGAGACATTACCATCCCGTATTGACATCGCATCAGCATTTGAATGGTGTTTTCCAGCTCTGTGCTCAATGTCAAAATCGTACTGACACAGCTCTTCCAACCAGCTGTCCTTCAGGATGTTTAAACCGTAACAACCAGGTAAGGCTGTTGTGATCAGTGCATAGAAGGAACTTCTTGCCAAGCAGGTAGTGTCGAAATTGGCGGGTGTAGAAGACAATAGCTAACAACTCTCGTCTTGTTACACAGTATCTCCTCTGAGCTGGGGTGAGGTGGGTGCTTGCATAAGTGATAACTCTCTCCTCTCCCCACTGAAGTTGTGCCAAGACTGCCCCGATACTGTGATTTGATGCATCGGTGTCCAGGATGTATTTTCCCTCCTCTAAAGGATATCCGAGCACAGGTGCAGAAGTTAACTTTTCTTTGAGCTGTGTGAAAGCATTCTGGTGCTCCTCAGTCCACAGGAATGTTGCTTCTTTTCTTAGGAGTTCATTAAAGGGCTGGCCAGCTCAGAATATGCTGAAACAAACTTCCTGTAATAGTTACACAGTCCAAGAAAGGCCTTCAGCTCATGTGCACTCGTGGGGGGGTTTCTAAGCTTCCACATCACTAATCAAAGATGGGTTGGGCCGTATACCTTTGCCACTGACCACATGGCCCAGGAAAAGGACTTCTTCTTTAAGCAGGTGACACTTGGATGGCTTTAGCTTTAACCTATAACTGAAAAGGTGCTGGAATACAGCTTCAAGTCGATCAAGGCTCTCATTAAATCCAAGGAGAGTCCATTTGACTGGCTGGCGTACTGGCCCTGCAGCTCCAGTATTAATCCTTTGTGTGACAGCTGTTAAGAGGCCAAGGTCCAAATATGAAACAGCAAAGAGAAGTCTGTATGAGAGCAAGAGCTCAATAAGTCACTGTTGCTGCACCTCACATAATGTTCCACTCGAAGCGGCATAAAGGGCTTGGAGATGCTCAGGTAGGTCTGTGGCAGTTGTCAATCTTCTCAGTTCAGAATGATATGTGTCATCACTTTGTTCTTGAGTGCTATCACAGTTCTTTTCCGCTGTTCGTAATCTAATAAGTCCTCATCTGTATATGTTTCGGCCAAGAGACCAAGACAGGTCCCTTTTGGTAAGGTAGTTTTATTGCTAGAAAGATTGCAAAGCCTCACAATCACTCGACGCTCCATGGTCATGACAACACTCCCTGAGGCCACAGTTTCGGTGATCAGGTAGGGCTCCAGAACAGCGCAGACACCAGGCTTTGGATTGTCAACTTCACCTCAGACTAAACATTCACTTTCTGGCGGTAACATTGTGTCTGTCTCTAGGACCACTCGAGCAACGTGATAATCCGTTCCATCACCCCCAACGATCTTAGCGGGAACTAGTTCTTCTGCAATAAACACTCTGCCACTAGTATGGATGGTTACGTTTGCAGCCTGCAAAAAAATCTAGCCCCAAAATGACAGGGTCACGTATTGGAGCCACAAAGACTTCCCATTCTGTGCACCAGGTCCCAATTTGGAATTTAACTTTCAGTCCACCTTTGGCATTCATGTCCTTCCCTGATTTTGCATTATGGAGACATGTCTGTGTTGTAGCTGTCTGTGTACTGAGGGGAAACTGCTGATACAAAGTCTCTGCGATAACTGTTGCTTCAGCTCCTGTGTCTACAACGGCTTGTGTTGGAACGCAGTTCACAGTCACATCAATAAGCAAGCTTGGGCCTCTACTTTTTGCACGCCCCACCTGTGGTGTGGGGGTCTGGCTCCTCCAGCGTTCTAGCCCTTTTGAAGTGGTACTATGGTTCTGATCTTTACTAGTTTGACTAGGGTTGAGTGGCGGAGTTGACAGTCTGACACACTCTCTGCGAAAATGCCCTTCTTCACCACAGTGATGGCATAAACCTGCTCCGGCGCGATTGGGGCTTGGCGAGTAGGCTTTTGCTCGTGCTGTGCCATCTTGTGTTGGAGACCGTCCACGCCTTCATTCCTGATTTACTTACTCCAGCTTTCTCGGCTCTCTGGCTGTGAGGATATCCAGCTTTGATTGCAACTGTTCCATCTTTTGCATCAGGAGGTTAAACTGGTCAGCAGACACATAGCTCTTACTAATTTTCTCTACTTGCTCTGTTAGGAATGCAGTCTTCTGTGAGAGAGCAGCAACTTGGTCTGTAGTAGCGTAGCTTGGATTTTGGACTCTGCATGAAACTGCTGGAGAATCAATGGACAGCTCCTCGCCATCCGCCCAGGAAATACATCTGGCTCTGCTCTTTACATCAATATCACGACCCAAGGTGGCTCGATAATTGGCCTCTACCAGTCTTTGAGCCTCCACTAATGAATGGGGATCCTTGTTCATTACTTCATAAGCAACTCAAGTCCCTTGAGGAAGAAGTCTGTAGTGAGTTGGTCCTGCAGATCGAGCTCCACACCAAGGTAGGCCAAAGTGACTAAGCGTTGCACCTCCTCTGCAAACTCTTTGAGCTGGCGGAGTTCGCCCAGTTTCCTTCTGATTGTGGTTGGGGGGTCACTCTGACAAAAACGTTGAGTTAACTGCTCCTTATGAAGGGTGTAGTCCTCACAGATATGCTCAGGAAGTGAACAGACATACTTAATAGCTGGCTCCCTCAGAGAGTCATACAAACAGTCCACTCTGTAGTCTCCACTCCAACCATACTTCCTGGCCTGCCGCTCAAATGGTACCAGAAATGATTCCCAATCTCCACTACCGTCAACCCCGACGCATCTGACTTTTCCAGGTTTTAAGTGCTATAATCTGGTCCCCGGTGCATACCAAGGAAATAGGTTAACCCAATAACTTTGTTTTGGTAAGCCCTTTTCTGCAAGCGTCTGAAAAAACGAGCGCGTCTGATTTCGCTCCCTTGGTGACGTGGCAAAGGGATCTCATTATAATATTACCGCCCCTTAATCTGTAAGCTTCCACTCACGGAGCAATCATTTTGATTTCTCAAGCGACAACGGTGTACCAGTTCTAATGTCATGGCGAAGGTTTGAGCAAAACATACTAACTGTTCTGTCTTTGGCTGCACAGACGAGCACAGAACACTGTTTAGAATCTCAGCCTGAGGAGACAACAGAACAGTGGAATTATTGATTTATTTACTGTATATTGCTGCTGCCACACAGATCTAATATAAACCAGAGATTTATTTCCCAGCTGTTTACCTTCACAGACATAACCGACTGTTTTTGTAACTCATGTGTTTTTAACATAAACTTGTGTGTGAATGAGAACTTAGTTTAGTACTCACATGCTGTGTGGTGGCCGCTTTCTGTCCGTGTGCTTCGGATTTGTGCACTCAGAAAACCGTATATCAGAAGTTTAAACTCATGTGGTGTAAAACGCATGATTTCAGTGTGATAAACATGATAATCAGAACCAAAACAGATGTTTTAGCAGGTACAAGCTGTAATGAAGCAGCTCTATTCTGGAAAAGGGGGCGGGGAACAGCAACTCATTTGCATTTAAAGAGACAGGCACGAAAAATAGCGTGTTTCTGCTTCCACTCAAAATAGGCATTTTCAAAATGATATAATAAATGATCTGTGGAGTATTTTGAGCTGAAACTTCACAGACACATTCTGTGGACACCAGAGACTTGTAAAACAAAATAATGATCTTTGAAAATAGCATCATATGACCCCTTTAAGTTAACTTCTACTTTACTGAACTGTTGTATAAAGCACTTTAAAACGATCACTTAACTGTATTCTTTTATTTCATCACAGTATGGTGCATTATCTGAGCTACAGGTAAGCTACATTTCACACAAACTAATCTTCATTGTAATTGCAGTAATCTGTAAGCCAATTTTGCACATTTTTCACAACAAATACTTTGTCTTAATTATGGGAAACCATTGATTTTACTACAGATAAAACTAAAAATTTCTCTTTTGTTAATTTAACAGTGCAGCGTTGTTGTTTTTGCTACGGTCTTTTGTCATGGGGATTTTTAGAACCTTTAACAAGGGAAAAGTTCCACAATTCTTTCACCTATTCAAGTTACTAAAAGACTAGTGACTGAATCATCTTAAAACTTAAGGCAATTTACCAATTTAAGGTGAGAATGAGAATATGAATAATGAGCATGAGAACAATGACAGTATATTTCATTAAAAGATGCAACAAAGGTTACAAGTTGGTGATGAACCCATGAAATAGTCAATGATTATAAATCATAATCAGAGTAATTTTATATAAAAGAACAATATAGTTTTCAGTGAAGATCCCACTTACTGGAGACAGAAATGTAGATGGGATTGTATTGGTATGTGTAATTCCAATACTTCTTGGATTGTTTTTTTTCCATTTCCACCCAGAAGTAGTAACTGTCTGTGTTCATGACATCATAGAAAACAGTGGTACATCCATGTTGACTAAGATTTCCAAGTATCTCTATATGACTGAATCCTTTGATGATGTTCATACTTCCATTAAAAACCACCATCTGGCTGGAGAAAAGCATGGTTCACACTTTAAAATCTTTTGTTTAAATGAAAAGGGTAACACTAAAGCTTTCTTATCTCATCTTTTTAATTAGAGGGAACTGACTCACTTTCCATATGAACTTGTACTGGTAAGAACAGAAAAACCATGAAAAAAAGACAAACATCTCAGGTACAAACACAAACATGAAAATGTTATTTTCAATCTACAAAGGCACTTCACATGGGTGCCATACTTTTTTTTTTTTTTTGATAAGACAGACACTGAAGTTATACATTATCTGCATTATATTTCACGATTAATCGCAACCAAAATAAGTGTTTGTTTACATAATATATGTGTATTCTATATATTTATGTATACATTTTATATTCATATAATTTATACTGTATATTATATATTTATAGATTTTTCTTAAATAGATACATGTTTGTGTATTTATATATACATAATAAATACACAGTACACAAACATTGTGTACTGTGTATTTAAATGTAAACAAAAACATTTATTTTGGACGCGATTAA